CATTTTTGCTTTCCGTCTATCCAAAGTATTATCAAGTATTTTTGTACTATCTGAAGTTTGTGTGTGAAATGGAAACTGAATGAATTGGATTGTACTCCCCGAAATTAATACTGAATAACACTGAATAACCAACAGTATGCTTATCAAACCGGCAAATCGACAGATTCAGCATTGAATAACCTCGTTGAGAAAATCTCCCAATCCCTTGGCAACAAGGAAATTGCGGTTTCTCTATTTCTGGATATTGAAGGAGAATTCGACAATGCCCTACCTGAATCTATAGGATTGTCTCTGGCTAGAATCTCTGGCTAGAATCTGGGTATAGAATCGACCATAACTGGCTGGATCTATGCCATGCTAGTAAACAGAACTGCAACTACGACTCTTCAAGGCGAGGTTATCAGGTTCAAGGTCACCAGGGGCTGCCCTCAAGGTGGGGTACTATCTCCCCTTCTGTGGTCGCTCCTGGTGAATTGTTTGCTTGATGTCCTCGACAGAAGAAAGTTTGATCTGCAAGCTTATGCAGATGATCTTGTCATCCTGGCAAGGTCCACTTCGGGAAGGGTAACTTATAATATCCTCCAAAGCGCGTTGGACGTTGTTCACAGTTGGCGCCTGAGGAAGCAGATGTCTGTCAACCCCAGCAAAACAACCCCTTTACCAAGAGAAGGAAATTGGACGATCTAACGCCACTTTCCTTCAATGGTGTGGTCATTCCATTTGGAACAGAGGTGAAATATCTTGGCATTGCCCTTGATAAAAGACTCACCTGGAACGCTCACTTGGAAAAAGTTTTACACAAAGCCAGACGGCCTCTATGGACATGTCGAAGGTGGTGAAACTTGGAGTTTAGGTCCCAAACAAATCCATTGGATTTATGTGATGATTGTCAGACCAATGATCACTTATGGTGCAATTGCTTGGTGGCCGAAGGCTTTACAGAAAACAGCCCAAGCGAAGCACTCTGGCTTACAGAGACAGGCTTGTCTGGCTATCAGTGATGCCATCTGTACCACACCGTCAGCGGCCATGAAGATCCTTCTAGATCTACCTCCTCTCCACATGTTTCTGGAAAGAGAGGCTAGATGGACTGCATACAGACGTGCCAATTGCACGAATCAATTCAATGCAGAGTGCAACAGACTATTGGTTGACATTGAAAGTCACAGCATTCTGGAAATGAACTCTGACTTCATCCCTCCAACTGTCAACTACGAACTGCCTTAAAAAATACTCTTTCTGAGTAGAGGGGACTGGATCCTACTGGAGAAGGAAATATCAGGAGCAGATAGTTGTTGATTCACAGATGGATCAAAAACACCTTTCGGTTCTGGTGCAGGTGTTTTCAGTCGCAGACCCAGGACAGAGTTATCTACCTGCCTAGGAACTTATGCGACTGTATTTCAAACGAAAATTTACGCTATTGAATTATGTGCGGAGAGATTGGATAAATCCAACCTCACTCACAAGTCAATAAAAATATTCTCGGACAGTCAAGCGGCGTTGAAAGCTCTTGGCTCCTACCGAGCAACGTCCAAATTGGTGGCAAACTGCCAAAAAATAACTCTCCTCGATAGGAAGACTAAACAGATTGTCTCTGGTCTGGATTCCTGGCCATACTGGCCTGAAAAGCAATGAAGCTGCTGACTCTCTTGCAAACGAGGGTGCTGCAAGCAACATCATTGGACCAGAACCTGTCATTGGAATCGCTTTGGGCTTTGTCAAACAAACACTGAACATCTGGATGGCAAGAAGAGTTATATACTCCTGGCAGAATCTTCAAGGATTGGCTCACTCCAAGGCGTTTATTCGCCCTTCGAAGCTTGATACCAAATGTAGTTGGTGAACTACAGTAGGGATGAACTACGATGTCTAACAGGCCTTCTTACAGGTCGTTGTCATTTTGAATCATCACATGCCTCTGTCTGGAAAATGATGGAACTGTAGAGCATATACTTTGTGCCGAATCAGGGTCATTGAGTTCGGCAGATCCGTACCCTCACCATCTGACCTGAAAGACCACTCACCATACAAACTGATCGGCTTCGTCAAGAAGCTGGGTTCATTTGGCCGAGTGTGAATAGGTGTGAGTCACAATAAACCCTTATGGGTTGCGGTGGAGGGTCGAATAGACCCACCCACTTTAGACCTACCTACCCCGAAATTAAAGATGAAGAAAACTAAAATTTGGCGCTAGATTTTATACAACAGACATCCAAATATAAGTATTTGACAGCATAGCACAACAAAGTTTGAATAGTACTTTACCCACTTCGAGAAATTTTTCTCACTTTTATCACAGTTTTCGATGCTTGAAGGTGTTCTAAATATTGAAGTCAATATGAATATTGCCGACTATATGAAACTGTAATTTTTTTGCTGAGGCAAAAATCAGAAAATTATACGCCAAAATATCTCAAAAATTGTAACCTAGGAAGATTTTTCTAACCAATAATTTTTGAAACTGGGATTTGTTGATTACCTAGTTATTCATATGCATTAAGCTTTCCTTCATTAACTCATTTGAGTTATTTGATATTTGATTTTCTTCTGAATACCAATTAGTTAGGGCTAGTGAAAAATTGTGAACCTAGTGTTGACATTACATTTGATGTATATTTGTAAATACAGTGTGAACAATTATCTTCAATGGTACGCTAATGTACCAAACTCAAGTGGCTGATGCTACCTAACTGTCACAATCTTATGAAAAATAATGCTTTCGAAACTTGTTCAATATACAATTTTATTACGTTTGAATTAATTTTTTATATTTATCATACGTACATCAAATAACTTTATTAACTACGCCTGCAGTTCCGCAACAGCTGTGTGAAACTTATCAAATAGCTTATCAGAATTGTTGCGCCACAGTTATCGTTGCAACGCTTCTTGCGTTATATTACAACTGTGACGTATTTTCTATACGTCTATAGCAATCACAAAATCAAACTTTCCACGAGTTACAATATTCGATTGTTCGGTAAGTCCTTCCAGTTTCAATTCCTGAGTAGAGTAGGTAACTGCTATAAAATTGAGAAGGGTATATTTTAATGTGGGAATCTTTGAAATAAAGAAAGACAGCAATCAATTTCAAAATTAACTTCATACAATAATATGTAGATCATGCAGAGAAATAATTTTCAGATACAAACTGGAAGAAAAAGCCCTCTTGAATCAATAAACATTGAATTACACGAAAGAAAAAATACTTTCGGAATAACTACTTCTATATTAATCTCTTCTTAGATCGAGAATACCGAGAATATCCGCCAAAATCTAGAATTGACGAATTTCCTTCTTCTATATAACCTTCGAATTATACAAAAAACAATTTTTTTTATTCAGTTTATACTCCAAAAAATCCGTTATGAAATTGAATCAGATATTATTCTCAGGATTGTTCCAAAGGAAGAGGAATGAAATACACTGAAAGAATTCCGATTTTCAATTATGGAATATCATTGACTTTAGGTCGATGATAGCTACTACAAAATTGAGGGGCGACTCTTTCAGTTGTATTGCCAATTGCATATGCAGGAAATTTTCCTGCATATGCAATCCAAACAGCCGTTTCGATTGAGTCAATAATCCCTTATTTTAGAAGAAATGGATACAAGAAATTCATATGGCAAAAGTCAATTCGTTTTGGGTTTTAGCATCTCCTTGTGGCTATTGTATACGAAGTAAAAAGTGGTATATACCTATTGTCTATTGTATGTTTGACGTTTCTATGAATAATGTTTGGGAGCTTTCAATAAAATTGGTATGAAAGCATGATAACTTGACCTTCAGAAGAAAGGTTGTTTTATCCTAACTGAAAAAGTATGATACCTCAAAGCCTTCGCTCATCCGGTCAGCATCTCATAAAATGCACACAAAAAAGAAGAAGATGTGCATTATGTCGAAGCAAAACAAATAAATCTTGTGATCGATGCAATATTCCATTGCATGATAAATGTTTTTTGGAATATCATGAATAATAACCTATCTGTTGGTTTCACAAAATAAATGAAAAAAATTACAGAATTTTTCATATTTCATCACATTTATTAGCCCGAGGGGTCGTTAATGACACACATCAAAAGTTGAAAATCATATGTCTATATTTTTCTCCAACATTTTTCTTGTGTTATTCAATGCCCAAATGAATATATCGTCGTTGTCACTGCAATATCTGCTATGTGAAAAAACTATTTTTTTCAGTAGAAAGAAAAAACTAGACCTTTGTGATAAATATAAATTTAAAGTCTTTTTAAAACAATGACATTTTGGCACAATAGTTTCGGAATGTATTTTGAAAGAAAAAATCACAAAATAAAGTGAGGTTTTTTTGTAATTTGTAATATTGCTCGTTACTTACACATAGCAGGGATTAATTGTCATTACTATGCACATAGCAGATGTTGCTAGTTGTCTTTTTGAAAATAATATTATCATGTTTTGCGTTAAAATTTAAATAAAGCAATAGAAAAGGATTAGAAACTAAATTTTTATTTCAAAATTACAAAATAATATTCAAAGATGCGGCAATGCATCATAAAAGGCATGATAGTCACTTTCCATTACCTTCTATATTGCCTGTTTTCCACGAGCAACATAGATCACACTGATCCTTCCTAGGTTGGTGAATAGCAATTTTTTCAGACTTTAATATCGTTGTAAATAGTATACGTGATACTGGATTTGTGTTCCTTTCTGTGCAAAAATTAACGTATACTTTGTAAATATGGAGGGTTGATCTAAATACAGATTAAAGGTACATTTTCGTTGAAGAGCTCCGACAATAATGGCTCGGGACCTTTGGCAGGTCTTTCATCCACTGACGAGCTTGCATTTTCATATATTTTGTTACATTCAATTTAGCGTGGTTTGTAACATAATCTTCATCATTGTCTTTATTCTCTTGGTTGTTGCTTGAGATTTGGGTATGATGAAAATTGCTAGTCCATCGGTCAAACATATTTCGCCCCAAATCAAAAGTATGGAGTAGCATTGTTCTACATACTAACACTTTTTAGAGGCAGCGTAAAATTTTCATTAACTGGGACCTGAAATGATATAATCGGCTGGGCATCTGCATTGGCTACCTCAGAAGTTGTTTCATCTATAATATAAAACACGTATTATTGTGAAGTTAATAGTTCTAATTAAAAGTCGAGTTGAAAGTAATGTAGGTAAGTATTACATCCTTGTACAGTATGTCCGGCGATGGGGCAGATAAAAGGGCAAACAGACCTAAATTTTCATTTTTCAAGGAAAAGTAATTTTTTATAAAAAGTTTTGCTTGCCGAGAGAATACGATTGTCAATGAAATAAATTAAAAATTGTATACAGAATGTCGCAAAAATTAAAAAATTAGGGTACTTTATTCTTGTAAAAAATTGAATTTTCAACTTTTGGGACAACCTGTATAATTATAAATTTTAATCACTTCCATATCGACAATCGTATTTTCTCAACGACCAAAACTTTTTATAAAGAAGTACTTTTCCTCGAAAAATGAAATTTTTGGTCAGTTTGTCATCTTGTCTACCCTATTGCCGGACATACTGTATACCCACAAAAGCACTAACAAAAAGTAGGTACTACTTACGACTAGTTACATTGCGAGGGTTAGTTTCATTAGAGCTCTTAAATAATAATTTGCTTAATAGTTCATTGTTCTCCTCTGAATCCGATAAATTATCATGGGCAGCTTGAGACATGCAACTACTCCCGTTTTCAGGGGCCTTGATCCTCAATAATTTGCTTAGAGGTTCATTATCCTCATCTGAATCCGATAAATCAGCTTCAAAAGCCTTGCTAGTTGGTGCTTAAAGAGAAAACCGAAACACCACATTACTCAAAACCAACAAAAATGACAAAACGTGCAACTTACCAGATTGGCGGTCATTTGGAGCCTTATTACGTTTTGATGCCATTTGTACCATTAATATACCACGAGAACACATTTTTCATTCGTAATAAACAAGACCTTATTATTGAACTGAGAACAATGCCAATGACGCGGACTTTTTGAGGTTATGCAATCTCTGCTATGTGAAAAAATTCTGGCAGTCACGTGGTAAATTCTTGGTAAAAATTTATGCCATGTGTTAGTTTTAGCACATAGCATTAATTACATTTCAGTGCTTCGCATAGCAGATATTAAATAACAATGTTTACCGGTCTTCTGGAAAGAAATATGCACATGGCATATTTTCGTTTTATAGAAAACAAAGCATATATTTCTATATGATAAACAGGTCAAATTGGCCAAAAACTCACATAGCAGATATTGCAGTGACAACGACGATATTTTGAAATTGCTTTCTTTCTGCCTTTGGAAGAATCTCACATTTTTATGCATAAAGATTCAGAAGTAGAAAGCCGAAACCTCACTTTCCCAAAGATTATTAAAATGTTTCAGAATGAAAGTATAAAATTCATTGAAAAATAACCAATGTACAAAGTTAACTGACAAATATTTAATTCAGTTAGAATTTACCTGAATTGGCTCATAAAAGAAATCTTCTACCCCTTTCGTAATACCTATCACAAGACCATATGGATTTCCTAAAACATCTAATCCTAAAACCAAAACGTAGAGTTGCTTGACAGCTTGACCCACATAGTGACGGGTAGCTTCGGAGATTAACTGTCTCTTTGTCAAAAATGTATAACTTCTTTCAAAGTATGCCAACCTGAAAAGTTTTTTTTTTTTAGTTTTATTGTATAATCTTGAGTTTTGATACTCACTTGAACACAACATCCTGCATATCAGTGAGTGTAACTCCCAACCCTTGAAGTAAAACATTAATGAAGTCGGGAGTTGATGGGCTTTGGTTCGAACTTGCTCCTATTGCCATCGAGAAACTGATATGAATTTTAAACGGTGAGAAATGTAATAAATCATAGAAACTCTTCTGCTCTTGAATGGACTGAGAATAAGCATGTGAATATAATTCTTCCTTCAATAATTTCATATCAGCCAAAAATAATTTTTTCTGTAACAAAAGAAACTTTCAAACTGTTGAAATTCCACGTACCTTCATACTTTTTTATATATTCATATAGATATTACTGGAGTTTTTCCCAGTACCAAACCGTTATTTTAACACCTCGACATGTGTTTCGATCACCAAGAGGATGGAATCACACGTTAAAAGGTAAGACCGCGTTAGTCCTTAGCTCGCACCAGTTTCTCAACTTCTGAGAGTTGTCGTTCGTATGGGGACGACAGCTGATTAACGGATAAACAGATTTCAAACAGATTTTAAACAGATTTTTTTAAACAGGAAGATCAAACTAATCATACTTACGAAGCTATCCTTATTTATACCATAGATGCCTGTTCTAGGTACTTGCGTCTTGAGTGTCTTGAATTAATTTTACAATTTGCCTTATCTACTTGCCTGAAATTAATTTCACAATGTGTCCTTATGTAATAGTCGAAATTAAATGTAAGGACTACGATGCAAAATATTATGGATAGACAAAAAGATGTACTAAAATAAGATATAAGGAACAATTAGAACATTATATTTTGCAACAAAACCATTCCCTAGACTTCAGTTCATTACGATTAGTTAGACAAGTTAACAACGATAGGCATCTAGATGCCTACAGTGTAGAAATAAGTGAACATAATAGTATTATGAATAACGATGATGGACCAATACCTAATAGCTTGTTAAAATAATATTTTTTATTAGATTTACATGCCTACTACATAAAGACACATTGTGAAACTAATTTAATACTAGTAAAGCAATATTGGAAATTAATTTTATTTAACTTTTTTTTTCAACAAAAACACATCTGTATTTTATATTATTACATCATGTCATAAATTACATCAAAATGAAAAAATAAAAAATTCATTAAAACCAAAAAAAATCAAATTCTATAAAAACTAAAAAGATAAATTCCATAAATTTCACATAAAGCAGCAACCTTATTTAGATAGGATCAAATCGTTTTTCCTGTAGAACAACAAATAAGGAACTCGCGTTCCCTGGGGTTTCAATACGTCTTCTTCTTGCATGGTCTTGACCGAAGAATCGTCGTACCTAATCCAGCAGTAGTTGCCGACATGAAAGGCATCGGTCACGTAGTAGTGTCCAATGTTGGCATTTTTGCCTTCGTGGTAAACGACGGCGAATAGCTTGTATAGCTTCTCTCAGAGTTGGGTCGGATACAGGAAAAAAGGATCCGAATACCGGATACGGAGACTTTCAATGTATTCGGATACTTTTTAAAAAATTACGGATATACTTTCACCCAAAAATGTACTCGGATACAAGTATTCGGATACTTTTTTCGGATACTTTTACGGATACTTTTAGAGTTAGTTGAAATAGTGTTTCAATGTATAAAGTAAAAATACTAGGGATGAATATCAAAAACAAAAAGTGATAAAAAAAGATTGGAAATAAAAGAAACTCGAAAAACTGTTTCTATTTATTTTGTAAACAAAGAACATTTCAGTGAAAAAAATATATTTTTAGCTTTTACCACATTGTTCGCTAGATGTGACATTTTTATCTTTAATAGTACCTTTGAGTTTGAATTTGCCTTCGTCAGTACCAATACCTCAAAGTCTTCATCACTTAAATGTTTTCTCTTTGGTGTATCAATCATAGTTGCAAAAGAGAAAAGTTTTTCTACTGGTGCTGACGAACGTAGGGATGTATTATACTTGAGTGACACTTTTTTTAATATTGGGTATTCATGTAATATTTGTAAATTCGTTCTTTTGTCTTTTGTAGTTTTATTGCTACTTTCACTGGTACCCTCAGTACCCTGTTCGTTCATAGTACTACTATTCCCTACAGTGCCTACTTCTTGGTTATCTTGGGAATCCGTGAAATCAAAAAAGTCGTCTACACGCTAGATGCTGAATCCAGACCGTAAACTGGGTTGGATGAATCATCGCATTCATCGTTCGATATGTAGTTCAAGTTCACACAAAGCAATATTGAATTTCTTCGTTGAAAAAATGCAGTAAGACTTTAAGGTAAGACTTTAAGGTAATTATTGAACAAATTACCTATTGCCATTGAGTCATAAATATACTAATATTATTGGAAAACTGAAAAACAACTAAAATTGAAACGAATATTTTATTTTTAATTATACAGAGTTTTTAAAAAATGGATGCAAAAAATTTTCACAAATGAAATGAATTTTATCAGGGTTATTTATAAGGAATGGATAATTGATATGGAAATTATGAAATGGCCACGCACATACGACATATATTCCGATTCAATGAGATTGATTGGTACTTGGTATCTTTCAGGGAGGTAAGGCGGTAAAAGATTTTACCGCGGTAAAAGATTTTACCGTCTTACCTCACCCCGTTTTCGAGGATGCTGAACTTTGAGTTTGGGTGTCCCAACCCCGTAAACGGAAGAAAACAAGCCCCAAGTGGGGTCTACTGCACATTTTTGATATATGAGGTACTCTAATAACTCATTTTTTAAGGTGCCAAAGTACACCTTTGAATTTGAAAAATATCCGAATAAAGCTTTCGAATACATATAACGTATCCGGATACTGTATCCGAATACAGAAGTATTCGAATGCAACCAAACTCTGGTTTCTCTGTTGGAGACTGTGTTTTCGACGATACCAAAGTCGAATCAATCTTCAAGTCGAATAGAAAATCCAAAGTCTTGATAATCTTCGTGCAACGGTCGTGGCTGTATTCCAAAAACTTCAGATGCAAAATAAGGATAACGGGAAGTTTGCAAAGCGTAATTTGCTCCCACGCTTCGACCTTCTCGTTTGTTTTCGACGAAGTCAGTTCCTCTAAACTGTTCTTGGAGACGAGTACCTTAAGCGCATCTGTGACAGTCTTCACTTTCTTAATGCTGAGTGGCACGATGAGGAAAGGTTGGATATTATCAGTAATGTGGTCCCCGTTGCTATGAATGCACGACTTCAGTTGCCCCCCGAAGATGTCACTCATCGGTGTACTGCTGAAGTCGATCCTTCTGGTTGGATGTCCTTTATTTTTCGATTCCATTATGTTCCATACATTATTTGAATTATTGCTCAAAGCAGAGTCAACGAGAGGTTTTTCACCAACATATTTAGCTCAAACATTTCATCATTGAGTCCATTCAAAAGAAAACCTAGAAACTCTAACGCATCTCGTTGTCTACCATCGATCCAGTCAGTCTACATGTTATGCAACATTTTATAAATCCACGTCGGACCGAATGGGATGCCAGTGTTGAATAAAACTTCTTGATCATTCCTGGAATTTTTATCTACTCTCCCGTCTTTCGTCAAAATGTAGAAAGTGTTCCACAAAACGTTACATTCCAAATATAACCGGGGTAGATGTCATTCTCTCGTACGAAGATATGTTTTTACTCAGACTGTTTAGAAAGTTGTAGAGTGGTGGTCATGCTATCAGGGCTTGCAAAATCGAGTTGATATAACAGTAATTGTTTGGAATATTACTGGAGTTTTTTCCCAACACCAAATCGTTATTTTTAACACCTCGACACGTGAATTATATTTCTCGTTCACACAAAAGGGTTTTTAAAAACTTTTTATTTGAACAGAGTAACAACTAATAACTATAAAATATAAGTACTGGCTATTACAAATCAATTGCACCTATTTATATATAAATTATTGCCGACTTTGCAGATATCAGCAAAATAATTGATGTCGTCTTCGGGTCATCGAACAATATCCTGCTGATGTAAGAGGTTATCGAACTGTAACTCGTGTTTCGATTACCAGGTGATCATCTTCAAAGAGGAAGATTAACACTGAGAAGTAATGCGAGCTAATCCTATTTATGCTATAAAGGTAACACATACAGGTAAACCATCCAGGCGTATCAACCATACAGGTGTACCAACCTAAATTAATTTTACAATTTTGCCTTATATATTATTTTACAATATATGTTTATATAAAACAATTTTCAGCTATATAAAAATTAATTTCACAATATTGCCTATCCAAATTTATTTTTGCAATGTGTCCTTATGTATTATTATGTATTAATTATGTAGTAAACCCAACAACATTATTTTATTTTAACAAGCTATATAGTATGCTCTTTGGTATAGGTCCGCCATCGTTATTCATAATATTATTGTGTTTACTTATTTCTACACTCTCATAGGCATCTAGTTGCCTGTTTTTGTTAACTTGTCTAACTAATCTTAATGAACTGAAGTCTATGGAATGGTTTTGTTGCAAAATATGATGGGCGACTGCTGATTTTTCAGGTCTTTTCAGATCTTCATACCTACTTCCTTGAAAATCTTTCTAAAGTTCCTCGTATATTGGTGGTATGGAACTGAGATGTATTTATCTTGGTTTTTGTCCTTTCGGAAAGTCGAGATTTCGTTCATTCTTAACCTATAAACTTCTTTTTCCTTATTACGTCATCTACAATACCCCTCGAGAAACCGTTAGTGGCTGCTATTTTCTGTATTGTACGCCTTTCTTTTGTGAACCTCTC